CACCTGGGGGCACCTGGGGGACGTGGGATATGTCTGGGGTACACCTGGGGGGCACCTGGGCACACCTGGGGGCACCTGGGGGATGTGGGATATGTCTGGGGTACACCTGGGGGGCACCTGGGGGCACCTGGGCGGCACCTGGGGCGGAGCTGGGCACACCTGGGCACACCTGGGGGCACCTGGGGTAGGTGGGATGTATTTGGGATACACCTGGGGGGCACCTGGGGGCACCTGGGGGACGTGGGATATGTCTGGGGTACACCTGGACACACACCTGGGGGCACCTGGGCACACCTGGGCGGCACCTGGGGCGGAGCTGGGCACACCTGGGGTACCTGGGGTGTATCTGGGATACACCTGGGCACACCTGGGGGCAGCTGGGGTAGGTGGGATGTATCTGGGATACACCTGGGGGGCACCTGGGGGCACCTGGGGGACGTGGGATATGTCTGGGGTACACCTGGGCACACCTGGGCGCACCTGGGCACACCTGGGACACACCTGGGGCACACCTGGGACACACCTGGGCACACCTGGGACACACCTGGGGACACACCTGGGCACACCTGGGCATACCTGTCACACACCTGGGACACACCTGGGACACACCTGGGACACACCTGGGGCACACCTGGGGACACACCTGGGGACACCTGACACACACCTGGGGACACCTGGGACACACCTGGGATCACCTGGGACACACCTGGGCACACCTAGGGGGCACCTGGGCACACCTGGGGCACACTTGGGGACACCTGACACACACATGGGGCACACCTGGGACACACCTGGGCACACCTGGGACACACCTGGGCACACCTGGGACACACCTGGGACATACCTGGGACACACCTGGGGACACACCTGGGGACACCTGGGGACACCTGGGCACACCTGGGATACACCTGGGGGGGTGGGACACACCTGGGACACACCTGGGACACACCTGGACACACCCAAACACACCTGGGACACACCTGGACACACCCAAACACACCTGGGACACACCTGGGCACACCTGGGACACACCTGGGACATACCTGGGACACACCTGGGACACACCTGGACACACCCAAACACACCTGGGACACACCTGGACACACCCAAACACACCTGGGACATACCTGGGCACACCTGGGGCACACCTGGGACACACCTGGGCACACCTGACACACACCTGGGCACACCTGGGACACACCTGGGCCACACCTGGGACACACCTGGCCCCACCCCCCGCTCACCTGTCCGGCTCCGCCCCCGCAGACCAGAAGGACGGCGGGTACCGCAAGGGCGACGGGTACCTGAGGCGCGGCGGCTTCCGGCAGGAGCGCGGCAACTACTGACCCACACCTGCCCCACGGCGGGGCCCACCTGCCCCACACGGCCCTCACCTGCCCCACAGACCCCTCACCTGCCCCATAGAGGCCTCACCTGCCCCACAGAACCATCACCTGCCCCACAGGACCGT